TGTTAGTTCTACAGCAGTAGTAGAAGTAATGGTGAATTACAGACAAAAGTGCTTCTTCCTGCTCATGGGATGTTTCTGTGTGAAAGTCCCAGCTTTTTTGTTACAGTGATCCCATTGCTGGTGTTGCTGAATACCATAGCAGAACAGAAACTCTGGAACCAGATTTTCAAGAGCTTGTCGTGTTACATAGTGAGCTGCTTAGAAAGTAGGCTCAAAAAGATTTCAGATGGCTATGGTGCAACTTTAACCCATACTCTCACAAATGTTATTACCCACCTTAGTCTGCATTCCAGTATGCAAACAGAAAGCCCTTCAGGGACATGCTTGTGCTTGGAAACAGAGCTTGCTTGTAGAGGTAATATAGGCACTTTAGCTTGGCCTGGGAATCAGCACTTTACATTGAGAATGCAAGGCAGGATTCTGATGCGACACCTCAGCTCAAAGAATTGTATTCACCCCTGTTGTGAGGTGAACTAAATCAGGGAATAGATTTGACTAGAAGGAAAATGTTAATAGTAAGAACAAACAGGGAGAGGTCAAGGAGGAATTTGTCATAGACATTCATATGAATAGGCCATGGCTTGAATCAGGCAGGACTGAAGCTGTCCATGGGGTTTATATACCAAAAATCTATTTTTAGTGACATACCTAATAAAAAGCCTATTGAATGCAGGTGGACTCAGCAACTTTGGACATCGTATCAGGTGTGAAACATCTTGTCTGTGCAGAGAAATCTTCCACCTCTTGAGAGGACTGAAGTTACAAATAAGTTGCTGCTTTCATATGAAGGACTTTTCAGTCCAAGATCTAAACATTCGCTTTTTCATCAGCTGTTAGGTGTTCTTGTTAATCATTTCCCTACGAGATAAGCATGTTAGCTTCAGCTAACATCAAACTAGCTTTCCTCTAAGTTCTGCTAAAATTTCTGGTTTCCTGCTAGCAGTCTCTACTTCAGTGAGAGAATGTATATTATTTGTCTGTAAATCATTGTATAAAGTATAAAGCATTGCTTATTTTGATAACTACCTTGATGTGTTCTACAAGCATTCTTCTGGTAATGACTGCTGTTCATTTTCACCCAGTTAGTTCATGATCTTACATGGACAACCTGTAGAATCCATAGGCCTTGGTAGTAGGTGTACTCAACTGCACAGTGTACAGCAATTTATCTCTTAGAGACAATCCTCTCATATGGACATTGTTCATAAATAATGATTTATAAGCTGCCATTAATGTTCAATTATGAGATATATGAATTTAGCTAATAAAAGTAGACAGCAAAAACAGGATGGCCAGAAGTCTAGGATTCAAATGCCCCTGTAGCAGGTTTTTAAGAGATTCAAATAGATGTTCAGCATTCATTTAAAATACAGCTGCAAGCTAAAATGTAAAAATCTAACTTTAGAGATATCTAGCAGTAATTAATATATCTTATTCACACACACACATATTTACATATATATACATACATACACATGAACCAAAACAGGTGCTACCTTCACCCCAGGTGAAGACAGAACTGTGATAAACACAGCCACTTCCTGGAATTGGTGCATCTGGAACAGGGAATTGTCCAGGTTATTATCAGGGTGGCAAGTCAACACCTTCTAGGGTACACTTTTTTAACCTGTAAAAACCAAAACAGATTTGTTAATTACTGCTTTTTTGTTTTTGGGGTGGGAAGAGAGGAGGGGAGGGGAGGCAACTTGAAATAAAGCACTACAGAAGCAGAAAACTATTACTTGTTGGTCAGTCTTTGTTTAGTTTAAAACATATTTCTCTTACATAAGTAAATAACTGTGGTTGAGCCAACATTCACTTGCATGACTAAATGACTGGAAGCCCCCAGGCCTGGAAGAAAATAAAGTAGTTTTTGGCATGGTGGTAGTACAATTGATTCATCATCTGGAAGAAGTAAATGAGCCTGCTGCTACAGCAGAGCTACTGAAACTCAGTTTCCAATTTCAGCTACTGTCATCTGCCCTTTTTATCACATTGAACTGCAAGGAGAAACATTGCAGCCTAGGGGACTGAGCAGACATACAATCACATTTTGAATCAATTTGAACATTTTAAGGCCAGATTTACTTATCAGTGCATTGCATTATAGGGATCAAGTCCCAAGATCATCAAAAACAAGACCAACATGCTTAGGTACAGTTTTGTATCAAGTCAAAGATGAATACAGCCTTTTCAGCCAAAACCTTTTGGCTATTGGAGCAGAGAACATACTATGCAACAGCTGAGTTTTGTTGAGAAGGAGTATGAACCAAAGACTGTTTAAACTCTCCTACATCCAAACGAATTTAAAACATTATGGGCCAAGTCAGCGTAGAGGATTCGATAATCTAAGTCTTCCTTTATGCGCGTGCAAGAGGAAAGGGTGAAGAACCCGCTCGTGGTGCGGCCCTGGCACGGGAGCCGGGCCCCGCCTGGCGGTCACCAGGAGGTAAATGCACACGGGGTGAGTCCGCTCCCCTCGTTTCTGTAAAAGACGCAGTTAAATCCTTTCTCACCGCGATTTATCAGGCCCCTATGACAAATTCTGCTGCAGCCTCACTAAGCAATTGAGTTAAATTTCTTTAATTGCCTTGCTGTTGCTATAGAGAGCTTGCTATAGAGTATAAGTTAGATTTTATGGGTAGAATATAAATGGTTCCGCGCCGCTCCGTGCTGG